CTAAAGTGTCAGTATCTTTAAAGATGAGCTTACCTTGGAGGAGCAGTGAACTCGAGTCTAAGCAAGATACCTTCATGGTTCAATGAGCCGCACATACACTATATATATTCTAGTCATGTTCTTGCTTTCGGTTTCACATAGATCTGGAGTTTTTTCCTTTCTCTCTCTCTCTCTCTCTCTCTCTCTCTCTCTCTCTCTCTCTTACTCGCTGTGTTTCAGCATCTTGTGGTGACCAGTATGATTAACAAGAAGAGAGGAAGTCTGTTAAAAAAAAAACAACAACCTAATATGGCATTCTGATGTATTCCCTGTAGAGGATCCTATTCAAATTATCAGGGAAATGTCCAGAGTAATTATTCCTTCTCTTGTTTTGTTTTTGGTTCATCATCATTTGAACATATGTGATAAACAGTTTGTACCCTTATTGTGTGATTGCGGCCTTTAGGTGCATGTTTGTGATTGTGTACTCAAGATGTTTCGCCTCTTTTTTTAAAAAGTTGATTTAAAGGTAAATGTGACACACATACGGATAAAGATAGAAAGCAAGTGATAATCTCAATGTAAAATCTTCCTCACTTTGAACTGTAACTGCTTAATTTTTGTTTATTAACCTGATATAACACTGGAATTTATACACACTGGTAAATTTACAGCAATTCGTAACAATAGATAAATACATTACTCATTTTAATCCTGCTAAATTTCATCAGTCGTGTAGCTATGACAGTGAAAGTGGAGCGCTGTTGAAACTGCCCTGAAAGTACTTTGAATCTGTGAAGTTTAGTCCTGACTGTGCATCGTCAGGGAATCTTTTCAACAGTCTCATGATTTAGACGACTACTCATCGAGGTGGTTTCACTGAATCTCACAAAAAAAAAGAAACACACTCGCCCACACAAAAAAGCTGAAAGAATGATAAACACGCAAAAAAAGGACCTTGTGATTGTGACATTGTGATTTTTGACGTGTTATTATTGAAAAAGTTGAGGGTTTATAATAATTCCCAGAAGCCACACAGTCAGACAGACTCTGCTAAAAAAAAATGTTAAAAAGTATTTGAAATCTGTGTACATTTAATAATAATCAATTATGTGGCTTTTTTTTTTAAGTATAATGAACTGAATATGAATGCAATTAACTTCACTTGACTTACATTTTTTTGCAACACTGACATACGAACTGACATCTTTCCAAAATTGACAGTAGTGACTGTTTACTGGCAAAAACGTTTCATGTATAAGCCCTGGAAGTTTTCTATTCTAATGTGTTTTATTGTGTTTCTAGTCGTCTTTCCCAATATGAGCCTTAAACTGACAGGAACTTTGGCTTTGTCATCTTAATAGATGTTTTTGTCTTTTAACTAAACTAATACTTTCTGATTTTATCTCTTTATATTTCAGATATTTTATTTCATTGTAACCTCTTTTCAATATCTTTTTTCGACAATACCTTATATATACTAAGAAAGTACAGTTGTTTACTTCATAGCTAATATATATATACACACACACACACACACAGTATGTCACATTTCTGCAAATGTTTTATTATATCTTTTCATGGAACAACACTGAAGAAATGACACTTTGCTACCATGTAAAGTAGTCAGTGTACAGCTTGTACATTAACTGTCCCCTCAAAATAACTCAGTACACAGTCATGAATGTCTAAACCCCTGGCAACAAAAGTGAATACACCCCTAAGTGAAAATGTCTAAATTGGGCCCAAAGTGTCAATATTTTGTGTGGCCACCATTGTTTTCCAGCACTGCCTTAACCCTCTTGGACATGGAGTTCACCAGAGCTTCACAGGTTGCCACTAGAATCCTATTCCACTCCTCCATGATGACATCACGGAGCTGGTGGATGTTAGAGACCTTGTGCTCCTCCACCTTCTGTTTGAGGATGGCCCACAGATGCTCAGTAGGGTTTAGGTCTGACTACTTTACATGGTAGCAAAGTGTCATTTCTTCAGGGTTGTCCCATGAAAAGATATAACAAAATACTTGACAGACTTTTGTGACACACTGTACATANTTCACATTTCTGCAAATAGTTTATTGTATCTTTTCATGGGACAACACTGAAGAAATGACACTTTGCTACCATGTAAAGTAGTCAGTGTACAGCTTGTACATTTACTGTCCCCTCAAAATAACTCAGTACACAGTCATGAATGTCTAAACCGCTGGCAACAAAAGTGAATACACCCCTAAGTGAAAATGTCTGAATTGGGCCCAAAGTGTCAATATTTTGTGTGGCCACCATAGTTTTCCAGCACTGCCTTAACCCTCTTGGACATGGAGCTCACCAGAGCTTCACAGTGTTGCCACTGGAATCGTCTTTGACTTCTCCATTACGACATCATGGAGCTGGTGGATGTTAGAGACCTTATGCTCCTCCACCTTCCGTTTGAGGATGCCCCACAGATGCTCAGTAGGGTTTAGGTCTGGCTACTTTACATGATAGCAAAGTGTCATTTCTTCAGGGTTGTCCCATGAAAAGACATAATAAAATATTTGAGTGACTTTTGTGACATACTGTACATATATATATATATATATATATGTGTGTGTGTGTGTGTGTGTGTATATATATATGTGTACACATTAGAATTAATGTTAATGAGCAGCAATTACATGGTAGTAATAGCTAGTAAACCGTCCTGACTTGTAGACAATGAATAGAGTTTAAATGTTGAATGTGCTGTCTTACGTTAGACATGCTGTCACTTTAAGGTTTGCTTAAATGTGTTCTTCAAACAAAGAACAAAATTAGGATTACTGTCATAATCATTATTATTAATAACATTATAATTTATTGTTATATAAATTTGATCTTCAGTCTCTGAGCACACTGAGCCCTCAAATGTTAAGTTTTAATTCACCAGGTACTGCCAACTTCTTTCGAATTAGAAAAGTATGAACATCAGCAACAACATTAAAACCACTGACAGTTCAGACTTATCATTTGGTTACAGTACAATGTTCTGTTGGGGAACCTTGGCATTCATGGGGATGTTATTTTGACTCATATCACCCACTTAAAGACTGATGCAACAGCTCAAGACAAGAATCTAAAGTCCCATTGAGCTTGAGTCGGTTGTGCCTGGACAAACCCGTCTTAGAGGTCTCACTTTCGTGACCCGACTGGACAGAGCCGTTTTAATGTTCGGCAGGTGGTTTTTATGTTGTGGCTGATTGGGGTCATTTTGGTTGTCCTCGTGGCTAAAGAGAACAGTTTTGTCTTCCACAAAACTGCACAACCATGAAGATGGTGATTAGTTACATTGAGGTAAATTCCCAACCAGATATACATTCAGTGTATCATTTTGGAAGTCACCCAACATTCAATGAGGAATGAAAACTGGGGGACATTCTAAGAAAATACGATGTCCGCCAGGGCTTTGATCCACTGATCTTATCTTGAAAGTAATATAGTTTTATATTGTACAGTGCCGTAAAAGATGTGTCTGTTTTTCCAGGTGTAATCTTGTTTTAGTCTACACAACTGCTGATTTGTATATGTGTCTTCAGCACCTCTGGGTTAAACAATAAAAAGGCAGAGCATCACCTCCATCATACTCTGGTTGTGTTGCTCATTCAGTTTCTAACTGTGTTATCTATACACAGCATTTAAATGTCATGCACTCAAGTGATTGTTAGAATTCTTGGCTTTCTTTAGGCTCCACTTGTCGGGACTTGTTTGACTACAAACGCGTGAAGCGATATATGACTGTTAGATACAAACAACCTGATAGGATTAGAGGTGCCAACTCATACCATCTGACAGGAGACTGCACTGAACTTAAAAAATGTAGTACATGTAAAAAAAAAAATACTGCATTGCATATGGAAATGTATTTATGTAAAAAAATAAAACAAAAATAGTTTGTAGTTGTATTTAATTTTTAAAGAACAGCAAACATAGATGATATCATATGTTTTTTGAATATTGAAGTAGAATGAAGTTCATTTTCATCTTCTGGTACATGCTGTCCTCACTGCCTGTATGCCCTGAAATAAACTCATAAAATCATTTTATAAGCTAGCCTTTTTACAGAGTATTATTTCTATGATTTTTTTATTTAACAATTATGTTTTATTGTTTCAGTATGTGGAGGATTGTTTTTATATTTTCCTTAGACGATAGTGAAATGAACAGCTTATGCAATTGCAGCTGCAGTAAAATTTAATGACACAATTCATTTTCGCTTTTTAAAGTTAAGAAATGTTCAACTGTAGGTTCAAAAACAACGCTCTGGAAACTTACATGAGAATCAGGTATTTACCAGCTGCCTAAGAACTTTGTGAAATTTCCTTCTAGATAAGTTCAATACAGCTGATTTCAAAACGTCAAAAAACCTGAATAAAATCCTGGAAAATGTTTCATCACTTGAAACAATACCAGCTGGAGGTTTCAACCTACCTCTTTGTGGTGGGGCAGTTTCACTTTAGCATGGCAGTATTGGTTTGCTGGACCGCAGTGAAATCTAGACAGTTTCTCTCTTCTGCACTGCTCTGTGCACAGCCGAGGCCATAGGTCACTGTTAGTGTAAGAGCAATAAGTATTCATGAGGGTTCAAAGCTCACTGTCAGCACATGTTCAGTACAAGAGCCATGAAAAACTAGAAATCCTTTAGTTTCTCATTGACAGTTTAACACTACTTGTAAATATGGTTGTCAGCCTATTGTAACCTACAGGCCATTATGTTACTTTATCCTTGTTGTGTTCTCAATGATAGAATATTTAGTTGTGAAAGAGCAACTGAATAAGATAAACATGTCTAAGACTTGTGTTTGTGTTGTGATTTGAAAATCTAACTTAACTTCATTCGTACTAAGCATACCAGCTTTTTGCAAAAACAGGGAAGCGAATATGTCAAAAAGATTTTTTTTTTTAGTTTCCTGTCAGCATTTTTGATCAGCTGGGGGCTTTTCAGAGAATTATTGGAACATCTTGATAACAAGAAATCGAAATATACAGTCCGACAAACAGTCATGGAAAAAATGATTAGACCACCATTGTTTTCTTCAATTTCTTGTTCATTTTAATGCCTGGTACCACTAAAGGTATATTATGTGAAAAATACAATGTACACGACAAAAAATGCAGCTGATGACATCATACTTTATGACCTATTTGACATGCTTAAGCTTAATTGTATTCCCAGGGTATGTAAGAGCCTGCAGTGGTTTCCTGCTTACATTCAAGCTGTAGCACAATTCAGAAGTTGTCAGCTCTCACATGATGCCTAAAACAAAAGAATTATGTGAAGCCACAAAGGCAGCCATTTTGGCACTGCTGGAAATTGGCATGAGTGAGAGACAGGTAGCCAAAAAAAAAAACTGAAGATCTCCAAGACAGTCATTCATTACACCAAGAAAATACAAGCCAAACATGGTACTACCAGATTGCTAGCTGGTCACAGCAGGAAACGTCCTTCTACCTCACGAGATGACTCATCCAATCCTGTGTCAGGAACCGCCGTCACATGTCCAGGGACCTTAAAAATGAGTGGGCACTGTCGAGAAATGGGACTTGTTCGGCAAGGTCAGTTTGAAACCGACTTCTTGAAACTGGTCTGAAGTCACACAGGGCATGAAAGAAGCCCTTCATCACTCAAAGGCAGAGGAAAGCCTGGTTACTCTTTGCTGGGGATCACAAGGATTGGACTGTTGATGATTGGACTGAGGTTCTCTTCAGTGATGAATCCAATATTCAGTTGATGCCCACTCCAGCCAACTTACTGGTTCAGAGGAAGCCTGGAGAAGCCGACAAACCAGACTGTCATGCCCCTACAGTAAAACATGGGGGTGGATCAGTGACGATCTGGGCTTGTTTCAGTGTGAGTGGAACAGGGCAAATGCAATTGTGTGAAGGGCAAATGAACCAGATCATGTGCAGGGCTACTCCTGAAAACAGTCTTCTTCCATCAGCTGGAAAACTCTTTCCTGCCTCAAATGACTGGATTTTAAAATGTGCTTTAAGTTTGACTTATTACATTTATCTGGCTTCATAGATCAACATAGCTGTGTGCCATCTGCACAGCAACAGACATTTATTTAGTGGTTCCTAATTACAGTATATTGGCTATTGGCGGCCTACATAAGGGAGAAGAGGTCCAGCACAGAACTCTATGTGTCTGCAAAAGAACTGTTTATATGAACTAACTGGAATCTATACAAAGAGATAGATAAAAATATGAACTGAACCAGCCTAGCTCCATTCCCTCAATGACATGTTCCAGCCGTCGTAACAAAGTGTTGATGAGGGAGTCAAATTGAGCACTAAGATCTTTAAGGATGAAGTAGGGTGGTTGTTGACGGCTTCAAATCAAGCCCCAAGATGAAAGATGAAGGTGTCCCGCAGGAATTGGTATTAGGCCCCTGTTACTTCATCCATAAATAAAAACCACTTGAATATAGGCGATCATGGGTCCGGTGGA